TTACTTAAAATTTTCACAGAATTCTTCTTCATAAATTCCTCTTTGGGCTCGCCCGTAGGTAAGCGGTTAAGAGCGACGGGATCTGAATCAGAGGTCCCGGGTTCGATACTCACTTCGAGCAGCCTGTTGTCAGGCAGCAGTGACAACTATTTTCACTTGGAAATATAGATAGCAATATGTTTCCAAGTAAAAATAGCCCTTGCCCGGAATTGCTGCACCAATAAAAAAAAAGTCAGCCCTGTTAGATTAATTCTAATAACAAAAATCATTAAATATGGATGAATTGACCAATGGGTTACCATCTAAAAAATATGCAGTTTTTAAAAAGTTGCAGTTTTTAACAGCTCATAGGACGTAAGGTTCTGATTGCTGTTAAAAATATAATAAAAAAAAATCTCTTTAGCATGAACTTCGTTCATACCCAAATTCCGATTTTTACTATTTTATTTAAAATGTAGAATATTAAAAAAAACTATAGTTGGAGGCCTTAAGGCAAGTGGCATGAACTTATCGAAATTTGCAATAGTTGACTTATTAAACGCAAATTGAGATTTAGATATTTGATAAAATTTTTGACTGTTTATTTCAAAAATAAAGTATTTAGTCTGTAGTTTCCGTATAACAAATTTGTTTTGCAAAACTTATTGGTCAGTAGTATAGGGGACATCTTTCTATTTTAGTCAAATCGTTGTAAATGGTGTTTGTATTACTTGGATACCAATAATGTTTGCTCTAATGATAAGTGTTTCTTTGTATAATTTTTTTAATCATTGACTATTTTCTTTGTTCTTTAATGAAGTCACTAAAGTTATAATGTAAAACAATAAATGTTACAATTTTCTGTCTATTGTCTCTCTGATTTTTATTCTGTAACTATAGCGTATAAAAGCCTACAAGATCATTTTCCCAGATTTTCTGCAATAAGTATCAATGGCCGTAGCAGCTCTCCCTAATAAAATAATGAAGAAATCACCTTTAACGCGCTCGGCGGTTTCGAACGATTGCGCCCACCATCCGCTTCTTACGTAAGAGGCAATTCGTATACGTGCGGTGGAGCCTCCGCCACGGTCTCCGGAGCTCCTCTCGACGCCCGATTAAAGCGCCTATTACGGTACTATGGTCAGCCTGTTCGGGGGCCATATAACCTATATATAAGTTGTCTAATAACGACGCGGTACACTAATTGCCTAAACCTCGGAACGACCTCGGCGGTATGGGTACAGGCACTTAGATGTTAACAATATAGTTAAAGCAGATTATGATCGTTATCCGAACTTGCGCGATAATTGTTGAAACGGTTGATATTGTATGCAGAAGTCGAATTTGCTGAGATTTAGCAAAAAGGTATATTATATGCACTGCTAAATCTATTAAATTAGAAGTTGTGATTCTGCAACAACATTCTTTTATCAGTTGCGTATATTGCTTAGACTTTGAATATTCGAGCTTTCATTTTATTTTGTATTAAATTTGTATATATCTTGTTTTTATGAGAGAACATCTAGTACATTAAACTACAAACTTGAAAACCCTAATAAATTTTTCAGTGTTTGTGATACTATCATTTGCAAATACAATGAAAAGATATTATTCGATTATTCATCACGGAGAGAATGTCAATTCCTTCTAAAGTCCAAGTTAATTCAAAGCATTCTAACAAGGAATTTTCTTCAAAAACGTATGCAGAAGTCGAATATGCTGAGATTTAGCAAGTAGAGTAAATTATTATATAGTGCATATGTTATATGCACTGATAAATCAACTGAATGAGAAGTTCTTATTCTAGAATTCTTTACTGTAACACATTTTTTTAATTTTGTATATGCAAATTTTTTGACGCCAGGTTTACTAAACTGTAAATTTTAAAAACTTAAAAATTTACAGAGTTTGTGATACTAATATTTGCAAATCGTATGAAGAGATTAGGGGGCGTCCATTAATCACGTGATCATTTTTTTTAAGGATTTTTAAGGATTCAAAGAAACATCACATCATTTTAATTACGAGAAAAAATTGTAATTTTAACTTCCCGTAGGGTAAGTTATTGTAATCGTCCAAAAATCGAAATTGAAAATTTTTGCATTTCTCGACGTTTTGATGGTTTCTGAACATTTTGGCATAGCTAAAAAAAATGGATGTGTGTGTGTGTGTTTTGTGTGGCCGCATTTTTTCGTTCACGTTTTCGGGCGCACGGATCAACCGATTTAAATGGTTCAAAAAACATTCGATTCCTATCGATAGGGAGATGTGTTGATTAGGTTTTGGCAAAGGCAGGTCCAGAAGTTACGGAGATAAAAAGCAAAGAGTGCAGAAAATAGAAATCGAGTTTTTGAGAGAACGGAGCATCCGATTTGAATGACCTTAAAAACATTCAATTAGTAATGATAGGGAGAAGTGGTTATTAGTTTTTGGCAGAGGCAGGCCCAGCCATTTCGAAGATACAGAGCTAAATGTGCAAAAAATGTCAGTTTTTGAGAGAACTAAGCGCCCGATTTGAATAATCAAAGAACTTTATTCTTGTTTCAACAAAATAATTAAATTTGGAAAAAAAAAGTTGTTTTGAATTTTTTTTTTATTTTTTTTTTTCAAAAAATTTTTTGTATATCGAAAATAATTCAGATTTTATTTTAATTCTGACTAAATTTCTAATATACTTTAAAAAAATAATTTCAACTTTGCGATTCAGTTTATATAATTCTTATAAATATTTAACAATATTACAGAATTATAATAATCTGTGTGAAAACATTTAATATTCCTCAAACATTTAAAGCGTATAAAAGCATCGCCTTAAAGCACGATGCCATGCGCCATTAGTTTTTGTATTTTTTTTGCAAGTGCTTCGATATTAAAAAAAAATCAGGTAAAAAGTAAATACAATACACGTGATATTTTACTATACCCCTCCCTCTCTCAAGTAATATTTTGTAATTTTTCGTCAATTCAATTTCATCCAAAAACCAAATTTTACTGAAGTCCAAGTTCAAATTAATTCAGAGCATTCAAAAAAAGTCTTTTCTTTTCTTTCTTTTTTAAAATTAGTCTAAATGTACAATTTTCTCCATATCACATGAACAAAGAACGTCTTAAAATTTATTTAATATAAAGTTACGTATTATTATGTTTCCCGCTCTGGAAAACCTGATATCGTGCAGTACCGAAGTCGATTTTCACTGAAAACCGGTCATAACAAGAATTTTTATTTTTTTATTTTTTCAAGGTTTCGAATTTGTCTCCCTCCCAATTTACAGAAAAGCAAAAATTAAGATTACATCAATTGATAGCAAAAGAATTAATAAAAAGTCAGGTCATATCAATTTTCATTATCTCGGTGCTTAGTTTACCGATGTGATTCTAATCTTCAAACAGTTATATCTGACCAAAATTTTGTGATTATTTTATGATTGATGGTGAGGATCACTCTGATTAGATATTAGGTGGACTGTGAATTATAAATATTTCGTCATCATAAGAAAAGTGAATAAAACAACTATTTGCTTTACGATATATATTGATCTGCAAACTACAATCGAAAATAAGACAATAGGGAAGATACAAATTGTACGCTAAATGCACCAAATACGGAATGAAGTAATTTTTTGATTATATAGTAATGTTAAATGTTTTATTTGCAAATTTATATTATGGCATTATTTATCCCTGGTATAAATATTATTATAATAGTATTAATATAATAATATTAGCTTTGTTGGTTTCTCAACCACAAAGTTCCTGGTTCAATCTTATTTGAAAACATAAATCTAAATATGATCTGAAGTGAAAATAGCTGATATCGCTATTCGAAATATCTAATAACAATCTCATGACAACTAATATGGACATCCATCACTGAGTTGCATTTCATTAATACTGACATTGAGTTAAGTTATAGATTTCAATCACGATATGCTCTTAAGATATATAAGTATAATCCTGGTTCCTGAAAATAATAAGAATTTATATCATCATGTATTATTTAAAAATAATTTTATTTTTATTTTTCAGTGTTGCTACCTTGTTGACACGACGATTCCTCTCGCCTTGGTTATTCCCAGACTTCAGTTTCAAAATCTCCAGTCAAGGGCAACAGTTTTTCAAACAACTTCAAGTATTACATGGATTCACTCATAAGGTATTTATTGAATCATTCAATAAGTCATCAACATTTTGAATGATTACTATAATATTCATAGATTATTTAGTAGTTTTTTTATAAAATATTTATTTAGATTTATAGAATACATATATTAGTATTCAGTAAGTTAGTATCATATTTGTAAAAATATGTGCAGAACATATTAAAACTTTAGATCAGATATGATAAGTTGCACAAATCTTGAAATCAGTTATCCTTATCTAACAAGCAAGAGTTCAAGATTATCAATATAGGGATTCTGCCGATTATACCGCATAACAGACAAATGTTATGGCAAGGCCATATTACGAGCTAAGTTCCATATATTATACTGAATGCTGTCAAAAGTTTATGTATTTGCTGTGCATTCAGGCGTTTTACACATAAACTGCAATGTCACTCGTATGTTATAAAGCCGAGTCAGAAAGATTCTGTTACCAAGCATCCTTTTTTTATGCGGTTTAAAGGTTAGATTTTCTATCTGACAACCTGAAAAATACGCTGACTGCACACCAACAATATGGCTTTTGTCAATATTTGGAACGAATTTGTATGGAAAGTTCATCACATAGCCTTGCCATAACATTTGTCTGTTATGCGGCAGCATCAGTCCCATAGACTTTTGTTATAAGGTACTTATCAACAGGGTTTTTGAATTGGGTCTGCAATCATATAACTAATTTAAAATAAGATAAATCTAAAAAATTGAAAAAAGAAAAACTTTGTTGCCATAATTTTTACTTAATAATTAATAATAATATTCGCAATTGTTTTGGAACTGTTAAAAACGGTGACAATCGTACGCATGTAAAATACTTTAATATTGATTTTCAGATATTTTTGCCTCATTGATTAGAAAGTTATTGCTTCTTGCTTAACACGTTAATTGCCAAAATAATATTAAAAAAATTATTACATAAGCCATAGTAATTGAATTAGATAATTTAATTGAAAATGTGTCTAGAAAACGTATCAAAGCCAAAGATAAAGGAAGTTCCTGGGGAACACTATTTTTTATGGCATGCATATATGACTGACATGGCACGTTGTATTTTTTTAAACTTTTCTTTATTAATTTTAATTTTATTTTCAATAGCAATCAGAATACATGACAATTCTATGAGCTATTTGGCTTATGTCATTCACCCGCACTCATACACACACACTTTCAAACACACATAAATTAATCTGATAAAAATTATATTGTTAGAGAATCACTTCAATAATTGATTCTACTATTTTGTTCATATAAGGTTGGTTGTGGTAGTTTGATGCACCTTGTATATGAAAACTTTTTTCATTCTACCAAATTGATTGTGTAAGACATATAATATATTGTGTGAGACATGACATGGCAACAAACGTGTTAAGGACGAAATATATTCTGTATAAACAAAATCTTACTCAGACTAGTTATATTACCTTAATATTCGGTTGGGGAAAAAGAAATCCATTATTTTTGGATTAAAAATTTTGGTTCAAAGCTGTTTTATGGTCGATTTTTAGCTCCTGGGCGATGTTTCGACTGCTAATATACCGATCAACCTTCCTTTTTATCATTTTTCCGATTTTATAGACATATTTGACGACCGGCCTTACCTTCTTCAACATCAAAAATATCTGAGCGGAATCTATGAAACCAAAATTGCACATGATTGGCTATTACAGTATAGGACCCATAAACACCATTCAGAATTTTAGCCGCCTTGTATTATCGTTCTCGTCAAAGAAAATCTGTAAAATGTACCGAATTTTCTCTTTGTTTACTTTCATTTTTAACACCCTGTAACTCAAGATTGAATGCACCAAACAAAAAAGGAAATTTTTTAATGAAAAATGTCACCTTTCCAATAAATCCATCTGAAGACCATAAATCTGAAATTGTTTGATCGATACTTTACAAGAAATCTATTAATACCGCCATCTATCGAAAAAATAATGAATTTATTTTTCCTTAATCTATTATAACACATTTTAATATGATATTTGCAGGTGATAGCAGAGCGCAAAGAAAGCCGCAAAAATGCCGGAACCCAAGTAGAAACCGAAGATATTCCCGGTATGTATTTAAACCGAAGATATTCCCGGTATTGTAAAATTTAGTATAGAATTTCTTCTATGTTTTAACTTATTTTAAATTTTAAATTGGAATCCGGGTCGGGGCTCCGGTTTCCTCGCTAACCGGGCTTGTTAAGTCGTAAAAGTTTTTATATGCGCGCAGTTACGTTCATCCCGGACTATTACTGGGGGCAATACGAAACATACTTTGTCTTTGCGTTAGTTGGCTTTTAGTTTCAGCGGTTTTCACTGTCGAAGTGGATTAAGATTAGTCATAAACCTTCGGCAATAAGATAAGTCGGCGTGCGTGAGGGCGGTTGAGTTTTCATCCTAACAAGTTTATACGGCCGGACGTAAAATCGAGTTTTATAGGCGAGCACTTGTGCAACAAACCCCTTCGAGACGAACAGACGGATAACATAACATTTTATATAAAACGACTCAACAATAACAATATTAGTAATGTTCAAGGTTCAACTTTCATGGAAACTATCTAATTAGATACTACGGTCTTAGGCACTGATCCATCGACTTATACAAGGAGGAGCACTATACATGCATATATTTGACAAACTTTGAGAATATATTAAAGCCATTATTAAATATTACATAAAAGCTGATTTACTTCAACATACTTTTATTACAGATTTCATTATATATGAAACTAGTGATGCATGGCATCGTGCCTTAAGGCAAATGGAACTGGAACTTCCCGTATCGAAAACTGAATTATTCAAAAAAACTGTGTTTTGCACTTCGGAAAAACGGAAAAACTTTCGGAAATTAGATTTTTGAGAAATTTCGAAAAAATTTTACTTTTTTGAAAAGTTTGATTTTTTTATATTCTGATTTTGTTTTTGTATTTTGATTTATTTTGAAAATTTTGAACATTTTTTTCAAGCAATCGAGCTGCCTTTGCCAAAACCTAATCAGCACGTCTCCTTATCAGTAGGAATCGAACGTTTTTTTTAATTATTCAAATCGGTTGATCGGTTCGCAAAATCGTCGATGAAAATTTATATTGTATTTGTATCATATAGAGTAATTAAAAAAATAACAATAAATTTGTAAAGATATATAAAAAAATTTCATTTTCGACTTTTTTTGCGATTACTATAACTTACCCTACGTGAAGTTAAAAATACTGCTTAAATCAAAAACTATTATTTCAAATTAAAAAACAAACTTACTAATTAGTCAATAAGTGATTTAATAATAATGTAAGTCAATGCTAACATTTTTAGCGGATTTTTTATTTTGTTGTGTAGTAATTTTGTCACTTGTCCTGAAATGGACAACAAGTAAAATGTAGGGGAAAAAGGCTGTAAAATACAAAACTTTCTAACTATTGTTAGATATTATGAAAATTGACATATTTAAATTTAATATGAATTACTTTTTTAATCTTGCCCTGATAGTGTTATGCGTAGTTCTCTAGCCGAGTGGGTTTGGACGATCCTCAAGGCGGCTGTTGTAATTGTCTGAACGTGATCGTATATCTTTGTTTATTGTGTTTATGTCTTTTCGTATTAACCAATTTGGTGGTAAATATTTTGGGGCACCCAAAGCTTCTTTAAGTAATTCATATTGGCACCTTTGAATAATTATCGTGTTGAAGAGAAGTTGATCTTTAAAGTTTTATACCGTATGTTCAAATTTAAGTTTAATTTAATAGCAAAATTTGAATTGTCTTTTGTAATCATACTAATTTTTATCCATAAATCTTTATGGCTAGAATTTCTAATGCACTTAATTATTAATATTAAAATTATTGAACTGTTGCAACAAGTATTGAAAACCGAAGGAATCAAGTACAAGTGATAAATCTGTTAATTGTATATCTAAAATCGATTAATGTTTTCAATTTAAAATAATTTTTATTGATTATTATTAAAAATATATCAAAGTCTTAATCTCTTAAATCGCAAAATAATGAATAATAATAATAAATTGCAATTTGATTTTTTTTGTATAGACATCAATTTGTTCACGATTCACACACATTATATTTCCATCTATTTCCCTTTTTTCGCAGAACATAGATATATGCTAATTTTGAATGAAGAAAACTACTAGCAAGGTAAAATTTATTCGATTGAAGTAAATAATATATATTTTTTCAATTTTTTATTTGAATTTGGAATACCGTTTCCCCGATTTTTATCCCAAATGTTGATTTCTCAAACAGCTCTTATATAACATAACTAAAAATATGTTTTTAGTATACTATACTTCACAGTATTTGTTAACTGCATTAATATTTTAAAATATAATTTTACACAACAGTAATACGATGATCAACACTGTTCATATTTCATTTAATGCAAACGTTTATTGTCGAATCAAGGTATTTTATATTTGCTCATTTTTGTAAACAACTTTCAGAAAAGTTCTACGTCGGTAAATGCAAAGTTTGTGAATGCATGAGTGCTGGCGCCTAGTTTACTTTGTTGGTCTTATTTCTGAATATTACCACCGCGTATATAAAAGTTGTTTAAGAATGCGCAATCAACCCTTCAGTTGGAAAGGGGTTGATGAAAACCTAGAAAGGAATATAAACTATCCTGCTGCTCCCTCACTATTGCTTTCAGGACTTTTACGAGACCGCTACCGTTTTACTGATGCCTGGTGGCTGCGTATATCAAAAATGGCTTATTAAATGAACTTTCTTGTATCCGACCCTTTTATTTCGATGTTTTTCGTATGATTTTTAGGACGGCGCGTCGACGAGTAACGTTTTTGTTATGCTCGTCTATGTTATTTTTAGAAGAACAATATTTTTTGCCCGAGGTTATGATCGCTGAATATTTCATGTGGTCTATGAGCGATGCATGGAACTCGGCTTCGTAGAAACGTGCTACTTTGTTTAATGATTCAAAAGGTTTTTCTTGCTGAAAGCAAAAGTTTATAGACACACACTAGATAGAATCATAACTTACACATATTAGGCGATATAAATTATTCAAATTAATGTAATAAAAAGAACTAATTTGAAGTTGGATCAATTACAGTCCCAACATTAGCTATGGAAAATAGTGATCACTTGCAACATAATAAATACAAATTAAATAATTAATAATATATTCTCATATGCTGTATACAAACGTGCCTAATGACCAAATATTAGCTTTGATTTCTTTAATTTATTATTTTATATATAAATGAACTTCATATTGTAAATCAATCTAACTCAATGACGTATTTGATAATGACGTGAGTCTATGATCGATAATATACAATGTATATTATACATAATTGTAATTTTAGTGCTTATTAGGTAATTATGAATAATTTCGTTTCTAGGGTTACCATATACGTCAAGATTTAAAAAAATGTTTTTTTTTATATAATGTAATAGATAAGTTCATGAATGAGGTGATAAATTCATGACTAAAGTTTGTGTCAATTGTACTAAAAATAAAGTAGAAATGCGGGTTACGTTTGTTAAATAGTGGACTTATTATTTGATTAATTAGTTCTGTAATATTTTCATCACCAAATAGTGAGTTTACTTTTTACTTAAAAATATATACACTAGGTCGGTCCTTAATATGGACATTTTCGAATTTCCTTGCTCCCAAGGGCTCAAATGATTCCAAATTGATAAAAAAACAATTCTCTGAAAGATTTAGCTCTTAATATCATCTTTTAGATATTAAGGACCGCCCTAATATACACATACAGTCTTTATATAGATATTAAAAAATGTGTTATAGGCTCGTGTATAATGTACTCGTAAATTTATGGAACCTTTACAAAACGATCTGAATAATTTCACATTATCTTACAGGTGTTAAAAAGAGGCGTCCTTTCCTAGATTTATTATTGGATTTGCAAGAGCAAGGAGGTGGTCTTACCGATCAAGATTTGCGGGAAGAAGTGGATACATTTATGTTTGAGGTAAATTTATACAAATATATATATATATATATATAAATAAATAAATATATATATATAAATATATATATATATATATATACATATATATATAATAATTCATATCTTGAGATTTTTGATCATGAGAAAATAATTGACCGAGTTGTATTATTGCTTCGACATTTTTCGGACCTTCAAATCCAACAGACAAATAGATTCCATTATTATTTTTATCACAAATCTAAATACACTAAAGATCAAGATAATTGAGTAAAGATTAACCCTTTCCACTCGCGAATAGCGAAATTTATATGATTTTTGGCATCCGAGTCGAAAGGGTTATAATCTATAATTATATTAGGAAGGAAGATGTAGTGCTGCTAGTTTAAGAGGCGATTTTAATACATTGCTGTATTCAATTTAAACTAAATGAAATCATTTTTTATGATAGTACATCGTTTTTAAAAGTTTATTCAATAAATTACGTAGCCATTCACTCAATTATTTCCACTCTATTACTATTATTAATAGATTTAGTATATATTTGAAGTGTCTTTAAGTCTTTACCTCTATCCTTTCTATTTCACTTCCTTCTATATGTTAATGAAATGATTTCAAATCTATTAAAGAGATCTGAAGTGAAGAATCAATATGCAGTAAAACTTTTACGAGAAATTTGAAACTCTAGTAAAGAAACAAGTAATTGATACATTTTGATAACAAGGTGTAATGTTTAATTTGCCATGTTTTAAAATCGGTATAATAAAAAAAAATCTAATTCTATAGACATTATCCATTTAATTAGTCTATTTTTGAGCATTATGTAGAAAAATCCTGACAGAACTTTTTGCTAACTCATAACATCCAGATTTGAATACGAAGTCCTGACTCTAAAATTTTTTTTCTTGAAATAATTTATAAATTTTTTTTTGAAGAATTCTTTCAATAAGAAACTCGTTAATTGATTTCTGTAGAGATAGAATGCAAAACCAATAGGAATGTAAACAAAATTTCTACTTATTATTAAAATTTTGCCCATGTGCATAATGATAATTAATGACCGCCAAATCGCATTTTTATTGGATCTCCAAAACCACTGGACCTGCCTTCACAATAATTCAACCAGTTCTTCATTCCATCAATTCAAGTCGAATGTTTCTCAAATCATTCAAATCAGACTCTCCGCTCTACGAAAAACTGAATCGCCATATCTGCACCGTAACTTCGTAACTGCTGGACTTACCTTTGCCAAAAACTAATCAGCATGTCTCTCAGTCAATAGATCAATTGGATTATACTCACGTAACCATAATTTGAATTGTGAAGAGAAAGATATTTCATAAACGATGTAATATTAACTTGCCGATGGAGAAGTTTATGTTTTTATTAAAAAATCCGATTCGCTAATTTTGTTATCTCGACGTTTCAAGCAATTCTGAATCGAATGAGACCAAACTTGGAAAAAGTATGTGTGTGTGTATGTGAACATATCTTTTGCCATAAATTGACGTTTTCTCAACAACGACTGGACCGATTTCAAAAATTTAAAAGCCGTTCGATGTATCTCGATGAGGACTAGCGTTTATCAATTTTGCGCTACGATCAGCCAAGCCGTTTCTTTGTAAATCGTAGAAAAGTGAAAAAATTTTCGTCCATTTTTTAGCCCTCAATTCTGAATCGATTTTGAAAATTCAAAAACATGTCAAAATTAGACCTTTCATCGACGTTTACTCAAAAACGCCTGTACCGATTTCAGAAATTTAAGTTATTTGATGTATCTCAATGAGGACTATCGTTTATCAGTTCTGTGCGACGATCTACCAAGCCGTTTCTTTGTCATTTGAAAAAAAGTGTTAACTTTTCGTTCACATTTAAGCTCATACTACCAAATCGATTTTAAAGAATCAAAAACTGTTTGAAAGATATTATTTGGGAATGATACTGATTAGTTTTAGGTGAAAATCTACCGAGCCGTTTTCTTGTAATTAACTGTTGAAAAAAAAATTCAAGCCGTTTTTATGGAACTTTTTTGGCGATGTATATCATGGTTTTATAAAGCTCACTGAGATATTACGGCCTTACGACAAGTAGTTTCATTTTAAAAATTCATCGAAGCTTGAGAAAATGAGTAGTTTTTTTGACATTTGTTTAAATTCAAATTAGTCGATTTTGTCGATTAGTCGACTTGGTCTTCATGAACATACTATTAAAGTCCTACGGAAACTGGTTCAATTTAATCATTGATTTGTGAAAATTTGCTTTTAGAAAATACTCCGAGTTAAACGAGTTTGCTCATTTTCAAATATGTGTAATATATCCATTCGGAATACTTCTAATCACAAATAAATTAATTTATTTTTTATTGATTAAGTCGATTATTTACATCGGGTAGTTCATGTAACTTGCCTCAAGGCAAAATACCAATACCAACTAGCATTGTATAGAACAAATTTTAACGAAACTTTTTGCTAACTTATAACAGCTAGGTTTTTCCTAACTAAAAAGTCTTCTTGGAAGGAACTTAAAGATTTTTCTTGAAAGACCTATATAAATAAAAACTTGTTAATTTCTGTAGAAATATAATGAAGAACATTTGAACTCATTATTAAGTTTATAAAATATGTAGTTATTTGAGGTGCATATGCATAATGGATCACTTATGATCCGCCAAATCGCATTTTTGATTGGAACTCCAAAACCGGTGGACCTGCCTTCACAATTCAATCAGTTAATCATTCTATTAATTCAAGTGTAATATTTTTTAAATCATTGAAATCAGACGCTCCGTTCTTTTTGCACCGTAACTTCGAAACTGCTGGACTTACTTTACCAAAAACTAATCAACACGTCTCCCAGTAAATACTAATAGGTCAATAGGTTTATACTCACGTAACCATAATTTTGATCGTAACAAGAAAGATATTTCACAAACGATGCAATAATTCATTAAATTATCAATTAATTGTCATATTATTAACTCTGATGTGGAATTCGTAAATGTTTGCAACTGTGATATGTATAGCAGGTATACGCACGTACTGTTATCATGGCAAATATGCCGTGATCGCCTAATAATGCATGTAATGCGCTCCATATCGCACGCATTTCACAAGTCGACGGTATACGTAATATTCTCGGCGCTATCTGTGTGTGCTTTTGAAGTCGAATCCAATATTGGGAAATCTGGCATTGATGAAATTGCTATCGGCTACCAACTGGGCCACGTATGCATATATGTATTCTGTATTCGGATATTGGAGCAAGTTTCATATGCTCCAATGTCTGTCTGCACAGGGAAAAGTAATACGTCATACTAGGATTATTTAGTGGGAACGGTTTGAAGACGCAAATTAGTTTTGTAGCAGTTTGACTTTATTGACTTTAAAACGAACCTTGATTATCCGGACCTCAGTTATACGGATTTGTGATTATCCGGACTACTTGCAAAAAAATCGAAAATGAAAATTTTTGCATATCTTTACGTTTTAAAGGTTTCTGAACATTCTGGCATACCTTAGAAAAAATTGACGTATGTATGTGTGTGTAGTATATGTATGTATATTTGGATACAATTTTGTGGAAACAGGTCCAGCCGTTTCAGAGATATGGGGCAAAAAGTGCCAAAACGGCAATTCAGTTTTTGAGAGAACGGAGTAATCGATTAGAATGATTCAAAAACCATTTTACTTGCAATGACAAAATGAATAATTAATAAAATTAATTGGTGAGGCAGGTCTAGCGGTTTCGGAGATACAGAGGAAAAAGTAAAAAAAATGATATTTGGTGGCCAAAAATGAGCATTAGAAGTAGGCACATCAAATTATCAGATATTTGCTAAAGGTTTTAAAAATGATCACTATTTTTTTGTTGCTATTTTGTTGGGTTCCGTACCAAAATCTTTAATTTTTGAAGTTTACTTATACGGTTCAAGCAGATTTCAAAATTTTCCGAAATAAAAAATTCAAAATGTTCAAAAATTACCAAAGTTCTATACTTCAAATATATATATATATATATATATATATATATATATATATATATATATATATGATTTAGTAGTTAATTTTGATGTTGAAATATATGAGTGAGTTCTTGAGGGCGATACATCAAACAAAGAAAAGCCAAAGATTTATAAAATAATCTTTATTTCAAACGTTTCGACATTCAATTTAATGTCATCATCAGTGGATATTACGTTGGTTGGTTACATATAGAGAAGTGTACACAGCACTAAAGATTGGCACTAACATTTATACAACTAACTTGTCAGCACTATGCATTTTTTATATAATTTTTTTGTATGATGTAAACAGAAAAATGATAGTTTTATTGAACAAAAATGTAAGTAGAATTATGTAATTTCTGCCACGACTTCTGTACTTTGCTAGTACCGAAGCATGTTTATAAATCTTTGGCTTTTCTTTGTTTGATGTATCGCCCTCAAGAACTCACTCATACATATATACATGTATATATATATATATATATATATATATATATATGTGGCGATATCAAGCAGGCTGGTTTTGATTTGTAAAAAAACAATCGGACATGTCATGTATATTTTTGATATCGAAATATTTTTACAGTTAATAAATTTATATTTTTTTATTATGTTGGGAGTTTCTAATTTTATATATTATCATAATCATTACTACTCCCACATTGGTGACTCACGACGATGGAGATGAAGATAAAGGAGTTTTATTTTTCGAAGATTTAAGAAAAATTGATTTTGACGCAGCACCATAATCACTGGTCTTCAGTGACGACCTATAAGGTATGTCCAGTCCAATCCATCATAGTTAACGCACTTACTATCTGGATCAGACTTCAGAGGTTACTCATTTGGTATACCCAGACCTCAGTGTTTATTGCTGACAGAAAAAATAATTTGGAGCCTGAACTTTTCATTGGAATGCAATTCAACCTCTCTTTCTCTGTTAACTCAACAAATCGTCTTATAATGCTACCTCCCATTATCGGTGACAACGACGAATCAAAACAAAATTTGACATAATTTA